GCAATTATCGCATGCATGGGAGTTCTCATTTCATGATTCATAACAGCCAAGAAATCATTACGTGCACGAACAGCCATTTCAGCTTCTCTTCTTGCCAGATCAAGAGCCACATTCTGCTCCATAAGAAGATCCCTAGCCCTCATCGATTCTTCTAAAATTGCAGCATGTGAGAGAGCAACAGCAACCTGAATGACAAGGCGTAGATTAAATCACACTGGGCACTCAAGATTGGGCTCTTAGTTAATTAAATAGGCACACACACACCTAAAACTAGTTGCAACCAGACGCTAACAGCTAGAAAAGAGTATTTTCCTATGTCTAGAAGTAGAATACCAAAATCGGGAGAAAGGAGGCAGAGGGTTTCCAGAGGCTTTTCTCCAAGAAAGAAAAGAACGTGTTTTGGTCAGGAGCGCCGGGGGGGTAAGGGGAGAGGGATTCGACATGAATGTCTTTTCCTCTGTTGTCCCTTTCTTATACTAATTGTCATATTTTCCACCATGAATGCATAATATCTGGTGGCAAGTCCAGACAAATGAGGATTACGGCTGGTTAACACTTAACAGCAAACCTAAAAATAGTCCAACTATGACGAATTTACTTGAAATCTGATTTCTGGGCCTCTGTCGGAGTGGAACAGATATAGAGGTTTCATATCGCAGACCCTAACTAATTTGAGATTGAGGCCAAGTTGATTGAGTTGTGTTTTCCATGAATATCTGTTGGAAATCCAGGAACCAGAGACAAAGGTAATAATTCTTAAGAATGAAGAAAAAGTAAAAATTCCTGAATATCGTACAAGGCAAAGAGCAAAAACAGTAAAACTTGGACACGTCGCTTGTAAATGAAAAAATATCATGATTATTTAATGAGTTAAGCTAAGACTAGGCTTGCCACTTGCTAGTGTTTCTGATGAAGAAGTAAGATGCCAGATATGTAAAATTTTGAAACAGCTCTGTTGAAAAATCATTTTTGTAGCAACTCAGTAGTATTTACTTTTATACACTTAAATACATTACCCCAGAAGTGATTCACTTCATATGATAGAAGTACTTAAAAAACTACATATAATGAATTTTATGTACCAAGAAAGGACTACTCAATTAATTCAGAATGGCAGTTCATAATATCTTTATATACCATAGATCCTACTTCCTATGCTTCTAATACAGCATGTCAGCTATGAAAGCAAAATCCAATGGGAGTTAAGGTCCTAGCAGAAAATCTACTAAGATACACTCAATAAACACATCCACAACCAGCTTAACTATTCACTCACCGAAAAGCAATCAACAGATGAAAGATATATAAAGTCATAATTCACCTGCTGATTCATCTTTGAAAATATTTATAATAACAATTTACTAATAAAAAATTCAGCTCTGCAATTCCAATTTATAATACCAATAATACAAATAACAACTCAGCTATGGAATTCCAATAGAAAAATCAAACCTGATCAGCTACCACTTCAACAAGTTCCAGCTCATGGACATGCCATTGTCTTGCACTGTCTGAAGGAAGCATCAAAACCATTAAAGCATAGCGCTTTGTTGAAAGTTCAGGCCAATCATTAATCTGAAAGTTTGAGAGATGCAGAAGCGGAACCCTGACAGCAACCACCTCACCAGGCATGTATTTCCCAGTAGGTCGAAGTTTTGCAACAGGAGAATTTGGTGATATTTGTACGGCACGGTTTGTACTGAAAACTTGGTTGATTACAGGAAGTTGTATAGGTACAGTCAGTCCAACTGGATTTTGATGACGTAGAGTGTAAGAAAGTTGAAGCTCTACTCCAGTACGTGTTGGCATCCATAATGCACACTCTTCTAAGGCCAATGTTCTTCCTAGCTCAACCAATGTAGTCTTTAGAATAGTATGTCTATCAAGAGTGCTTCGGATTTCATGAGTTAGCATTCTAACATGTCTACCAGTCTCCTCTTGAGTGCGAATAATACCCATTTCACGATCAAGCTGTGCAGCTTTCTTTTTCAAGAATAGTTCCCTAGTTTTGACACTTAATAAATCAGGAATGATGTGGACAAGCATGAGCGCAGTTATACATGATACCAGCGCAGTCAAGACCTTTGCAGTAGTCATTACTATTGCCACATTCCTTGTATGCATATTAAATGTCCATAAGTTGATAAGATGTGTTGCTCCACAAAGAACTATGAAAGCACCAAACTGCACAAGAACCCATCTATATGGAAAAACAGCAGACTTCTTAACGAAGTATATCAACTCCACTGGAATGGAGAAATAAGCAAGTGCTATGAAAAAATCAGATATGTACTGATACTTCATTAGCAAGTCATCAGCAGGCAATTGTGGGTCGATGATGCAGTTACATGAATCCACGATGGAAGATAACTGCAGCAAAAATTAGGTCATAAGGTCATGAAAGGGAAGGAAATATGGCTCAGAAGAATAACAAGTTAAACAAGAATCAGACACTGAACATAACTGCAGCATAAGTTATGACATACTTTCGTGAAAAAGGAATTCTGCTTCAAATGAACAAGGTGAAGTAGAAACCGATACTGGCAGCTAAGTTAGTGACAAATTATTGTGCTTATAGTCAAATCATAGTGCCCTTAACACCAAAAGAAAACTAAATTGTGACTTTCATCTCTATGATATATACTTTTTGTAAGCCACCTCTTTATTGATTTAATATGCCTAGATCTCTAAAAAGCTAAAAACTAAAAGTGTTGGATGAATTCGGGGGTCTAAGTGTTTCTTTTTAATAATATCTTTAGACAAGAATCATAGAATATATTGAAAAACATGACTGTCCTTCAGCAGTCTTGTTGGAAATGATAAGATCGTGTCCTAAACATGATCGAGTTCTTACAATGCAAATGCTACCCACAAATATTAGAAACTAGGGGTCTTCACCATCATATCTTGGAAAAACACTACACCAAGTACTCCGCATAATTTGTTTTGCATTTAAGGGATATACAGACAAGTTGAATAGGTGGGAAAATTAGTTGTGGAGGTTGAATTCTACCTTCATTGCTTTAATTCCAAAGAAGAAAGGGGCTGTCAACATCAAGGAATTCAGACCTCTTAGTCTGCTTGGGAGCATAAACAAGTTGATAGCTAATGTTCTCACGGAGAGAATGAAGCGTGTAATATAAAAATTGGTATTTGTTAATCAGAATGCTTTTATGAAAGACAGGCAAATAGCAGATGCAACACTTTTAGCAAATGAATGCAATGACTACTATTGGAAAAGGAAATTGTCTGGAGTGGTGTTTAAACTAGACTTGGAAAAGACTTATGATCATGTCAGCTGGCCTTGTATGCTGAAGATGCTGGAGAAGATGAATTTTGGAGGAAGATGGATTCAATGGATATGATTTTGTTTTTCCACTGCTAAGTTCTCAATTCTTATCAATGGTAGTCCAGTAGGGCATTTTAATTCCCAAAGAGGCATGAGACAAGGGGACCCACTATCTCCCTATTTGTTTCATTAGCAACGGAGGTTTTGAGTCAGATGATCAAAACTGTTGTGAGAAGCGACTGGATAAAAGGCTTTAAATTGGAGGGTCATTCAGGAAACTTTATAGAAGTCTCTTATAGCTTTATGTTGATGATACAAGATACATGGTTAATGTGTGGGGCTGAAAGAGAACAAATGCTGCATTTGGGAGTGGTTTTGCTGGCTTTTGAAGCAATAACATGACTGAAAATCGACTAGGCCAAGAGTTTAATGTTTTCTTTGAATGCTGACAGTAATGTAGATATGCTGGCTGATACTATGGGTTGCAAAGTTGAAAATTTTCCTACCACCTATCTAGGATTGCCTTTAGGTGCAAAATTCAAAAATAAATCTGTATGGAATGGAGTTTTTGAGAAGTGTGAAAAGAAGTTGGCTCGTTGGAAGCAACATTACTTATCATTTGGGGGCAGATTGACATTATTAAATAGTATCTTTGATGACATACCAACCTATCTAATGTCCCCGATCCCTATGCCAGCTAGTGTGGAGAAGAAAATTGATAAAATCAAAAGGCAATTCTTATGGGAAGGTAATGAAGAAAGGAGGAAATATCATTTAGTAAGGTGGAGCATTGTGACAAAACATAAGAAGGAAGAGGGGCTGGGAATTAGAAATTTAAGAGCTCATAATCAGAGTTTGGTTTGTAAATGGCTATGGAGGTTAAATGATGGGAAAGATGCTCCTCGGAAAGAATTGATTGAGGTGATATATGGAAAGAAGATTTCTGGGCACCCAAGGCAGTAAAGACTCCATGGAGTAGCTGTTTGGAGACAAATTAGTGATCTCTGAGAGGAATTGAATAAGTATATTGGCTTGAAGGTGGATAATGGGAAAAAGATCAGATTTTGGAAAGACAATTGGGATGGTTCTGGTTTGTTGAAAGACCAATTTCCCAACATGTACAAAACTACAAATTGGCGTACAATCCTGATGTAATCTTGGTTGATATATTTACTGATACATGATGGAACTACCAGTTTAGAAGTAATCTCTTTGATAGGGAAATGCAGGAAGTTGATAAATTTACACAGAAGATTCAATTAGTAGAATTACTACCAGATAAAAAGGATTGTTTATTCTAGAAAGCTAGTAGAATTACTGTCAGTTCATTTTATAAAATCCTCAATGCGGCTCAATCAATGCAAGCACAAAAGTGGCCTTGGAAGATGATCTGGAAGACTGCAGTCCCAATAAAAGTGGCATGTCTTTGTTGGTCAGTGTCTCATGAAGCATGTCTGACTCAAGAAAATCTGATGAGAAGGGGTTGGATCATGTGCAGTAAATGCTACTTGTGTGAAAAGGCTTGTGAAACTGTGAATCATATTTTTGTGCACTGTGAATTTGATCTGAAAGACTATAGTCCCAACAAAAGTGGCATGTCTTTGCTGGTTAGTGTCCAATGAAGCATGTCTGACTCAAGAAAATCTGATGAGAAGGCATGTGCAGTAAATGCTACTTGTGTGAAAAGGCTTGTGAAACTGTGAATGGTATTTTTGTGCACGGTGAATTTACTTGGCAGGTATAGATCATGTTCATGGCTAACTTTGGCATCTATTGGTGAACTCCTATGAAGTTCAGGATCAGGAGTGTGTTGTAGTGCTGGGAATCCACATGTCTAGAAGCATCCCTAAAGAAGATCTAGAGAGGTGTTCCTCCTAGCATTGCTTGGACTATATGGAATGAAAGAAATAGAGGATGTTTAGATGGTAAATAGGAGCCGCTGCAGTCTGTTAAATATAATTGCTTACATTCTGTACTACTGGAGAGATGGAAAATGTTGTGCTGAATTTTACATAACACGCTGGACATGCTTGATTGCTTAAGGGTTTGATGTTCTTCAGCTAGCTTTCTCTGTGTAATTTCTGAGTATCAGCTTGATGATATTTTCTGTTTAGTAAGATCTTTCCTTATAATTTTTTTTAAAAAAAAGCCTCTCAACTAAAAAAAAAAAAAAAAAAAAGTGGACCGGGTGCTCGTGGATTAATTGGATTGCTCACATCAATTCTCCTTTTGGCAGTTACAGATCTTAGTGCCACTTGCAACTAGGTATATACATATTAGTTGCTATCTCATAATGAACATCATTTGGTAAAGTTCATCTCTTCTTCCACTCTCAGTTTCTCTTCTTTCACCTTCTTGCGTGAGGGAGTTGTTGTCGATATTGTAGACATCCTTATTTCTTTGATTCATTCTGACAGTGTGAATCAAAGTTTTCAAGTTGAGCAGGACCAAGACAGAATACTTGGAGTGTAAGTTCAGTGGTGAGACTCAGGGAGGGGAAGGGGAGGTGAGGCTGGACTCGCAAGTCATCCCTAGGAGAGGAAATTTGAAGTACCTTGGGTCTATTATACAGGGGGTGGGGAGATGGATGAAGATGTCACACATCGTATTAGGGCGGGATGGATAAAATGGAGACTCGCTTCCGGTGTTTTGATTGATAAGAAGGTGCCACCAAAACTTAAAGATAAGTTCTATAGAGTGGTGGTCAGACCGACTATGCTGTATGGGGCTGAGTGTTGGCCAGTCAAGATTGCCTATGTCCAGAAGATGAAGGTAGCGGTGAGGATGTTGAGATGGATATGCCGGCACATCACGTTAGATAGGATTAAGAATGAGGTTATTCGTGACAAGGTGGGTGTGGCCCCTATTGAGAACAAGATGCCGGAAGCGAGGCTTAGGTGGTTTGGACATGTAAGGAGGAGGAGCTCAAACGCCCCGATGAGGAGGTGTGAGAGGTTGACAATGGAGGGCCTACGAAGAGGTAGAGGTAGGCCGAAGAAGAAGTGGGAAGAGGTGACCAGGCAAGACATGGCGCTTCAGCTGACCGAGGACATGACCCTTGAAAGGAAGGTGTGGAGTTCGAGGATTAGGGTAGTATGATAGGTGGTCTAGTTTGTTCATAATGGTAGTATTAGCACGCACTCTTGCATTCTGTTGGTAGGAGGTTTCAATGACTATCCGTCGTTTTCTTTCATTTTGGTCATCTTATTATCTTGTTGTTTTTTATGCTGTTTTTACATGGCTTTTTGGTGCTTCCCTTCTTGTCTATCTTTTCATTAATATGGTGCTTATACTTCCCTAAGCTTAGGGTCTATTGGAAACAACCTTTCTATCCTCACAAGATAGAGGTAAGGTCTACCCCACGGTGTGGGATAATACTAGTTTTTATTATTATTATTATGTTGTTGTTGTTCTGACACGAAATCTATCAATGGGAAACAACAGTCAATTGCTGGAGTCACCTCTTAATCCCTTTCTCTTGTAACACCCTTTTGATTCATTGTACTCTGCGCTTTACACAAATTTTGCTAATTAAATAAACTTTGCAATCCACTCTCTATGGATTGCATGTTTAGTTCATTGCAGTTAATATCCGATCCTCCTTCCTGACCCACTTATTCATCATCGCAGAGAGAACATGATCAAAGTAAGGTGAGTAGTAGTATATAAAGAGAGTAGAACTCCAGCTACATAATACATATAGGAGAATGATGCCAAAGTCCACAAGATCTTGTTAGATCAGACTCAAGAGAGTTGAGTCAAACTCTGGAGAACTGGAACATTGACAACTGCAGCATACCGGCGAAGGGAACCTTCCAAGACCATAAGGAGTCAAATCCATGAAACCAAGGCCTCAAAATTCCTACTCACTCTTCCAAAGCTGGACCTTCTTCATTTTAAAGGATAAAAACCTCAAGCAGGGTTGTGCAAGTGTGACAGGTACTTTCAACTATACCTTTGATTTCAATTCCTCCAAGATCCATATAGGCAAGAGATAGAACTGAAGGGACTGAACAAAGTCAATCGAAGACAATCACTGCCTCTATTAGAACTTAAGGGCGTCATTGAACGAGGTGAATTGAAGGCAATCACTGCCTTTAGACTTCACAGCACAGCAAACCCTTGAGCACAAGCCGACCCAAGGTGCGTGCAGCATTATAAATGCTAAATAAAATGAAGATAAGTTGAATTGGCCGGAAAATTACTTCTGGAGGTCGATTAAAAAAAAACAGTTATACCCAACGGGCAGTTAGAAGTGGTTCTCAACGCTCATGGATAAATTGCACCGCCTAGATAGATTCTCTTTTTACAATTACTAGTCTGTGGTGAAGCCACTTACTACTAACTATAAATATCATAGTTGGCAATCACAAGGGATCAATGCCTATCTCATTTGGTAAAGTTCCTCTCTTCTTGCACTTCCAGATTCCCTCCTCCTTTCACTTACTTCTCTTTCCTCACTTCCTCCTCACAAAGGTGTACTATCATTCGGAAATTGTTGAAGTGTGACCAACTCATCTAAGAGCTTAAATAGTTGGAGAGAACACACTTTTAATTACTGAACTATATCATGTCTTTAACAGAAACAGAGAAACCATCGAAACCCAGTCGCATAAATGACCACTTAGTTTCTTATATTTTACATCATTTGTCTTTCAATTCTCCGTAATCCGAGCTATGTACAAAAAAATTCAACTTATTGAATAAACTTCCACTTATATATAAATAGTTGATCATTGCAATTTGAGTTCATTTAAATATTATTTATCATTCTTAAAAATCGTCCCTAAATCTCAGTATACTCCACACTCCAAGAACTAATAACCTTGCTCGACGAAAATATAACCTTTCAAATCACTAAAATGCTAACGTTAACTGACTCGCAATTTCAATTATGCTATTTGGCGTATCGTAAATTAATTAATTTGAGCTAAATAACTCTTAAAAAGACTATTTTTCAATAATTAAAAGTCAAACTTAGTAAAAAGGGAGTAGTAATTAGGGTTTAAAGGAACTTACAAGGCGATTCATGCGAAGAAGAGATCCCATCGTGAAAATAATTGGGAGATGATGATCACATTCACAGTAAAGAGGGGAAAGTGATATACAATACAATGGACTTGGCCCGAAAAGGAAATGACCAAGTTGAGTGAAATGACTTCACGGGTCAACAGCTGTTTATAAATAAGACTCGGGTTAACTCGGTCGAGTTGAATGGCGAACACTAACTTTTGAATTTTTATGTCAAAGTTGACCATATTATATTTTTCACGTGTAAATGTTGGGGAAAAGGAAAAAAAAAAAAAAAAAAAGAGCTTATCTATAAATGGGGTATCAAGCTATGGTCCATTAATACGCACCAACACTATTTTTTTTTGTTTTTTGGGTGCTAATTTTTTGCTAAACATTTCTGTAATACGATTTAGATGTGTGTGTATATATCCTCTATATTATAAAGCACACACTTTGTATACGGTTAAAACCGGGCCTACTCGATTTTACTATTTGATCGAGATCAGGGAATTGCATCGAAGGTCGGCCTTGTAGTGGGTCAGACCAAAACACGAAGACAAGGTACTGAGTTCGAGAATCGAGGTACTTATCGAGTTCGAGGCCAGTAGCAATCGAGACCAAATAGGGCAGACTTGGATAAAGCTCAATAACAGAAAAGCGAGATATACGTGACCGAACGAAGATCGTGTAAATCCCGGAACAGATCAAATCAAGGGCGGTTGTTTAGGCTAATCATGGGATTTACTTCCGTAATTAAAATTGTACCATATATAGGATCCCTCTACTATAGAAAGAGGGTTCTAATCATTTTGTAGGGACCTTACACTCTGAGATATCAAAGCAATATAATGTCTTTTCTCTAGTTCATATATTTGTTCATTAGCTTGTTATCTTTTAACTCTTCTTGCACAAATCAGTTCGAGGGTATTCAAGCTCGAGGGCTGAATCTCGTTCAAACACTGGTTTGCTTTATCCTATTGTTGATTTCTATTATTAGTCTTTACATTTATCAATTGATATTAGGTGAAATCATGTGTCCTTAAAACCACATTATAAGTTTAATTGTAATCCAATTTTAAGAGTAAACTGTTTGGCGCCTACCGTGGGGCTAAGGATACTAGTGATTATCTGGTATTAATTCTCGTAACACATACTACTTTACGCTTGTTCTTGTGAGTGTTTTTGATTTCAGGTTCAACATGTCTAACTCGCAAACAGTACCCATTCACGCCAATAACGGCCTCGGTTTCCATGGAAAAAACGATAATGTAGCCGCCCCAGGGATCGAAGCACCTCTGGCTGGCCACGAGGGAGTATCGATCGCAGATCCCGTCGATGTCAATTCGCATGTCTCCCTAAATGCAAATCTGGGCGTCGACCCTGGAAATAGTGTCTGCGGAGATGCCCGAGCAGCCGATCAAAACGTACAGAGCGGTGAAGAAGGCGGAATTAGCCTTCGAATGATATTTGAAATGTTGCAAACTCAACAAGCTACGATAGCGCAACTCCAAAATCAGAATCGAGCACCAAGTAGAATAAAGCTCGAAACATCACAAGAAGTTGTTCATAGAATCGAACCTGAACCGGAGAAATCGAACGCCAATGAATCGGGGACTAACCCCACCATTATGAAGATGCTCGAGGATCTCACTAAACGGATCGAATCAGGGGAAAAGAAAATCGAGGCTAATGACAAAAAGGTAGAAACGTACAACTCATGGGTTGACCAAATACCGGGGACACCCCCGATTCTAAAGGGTTTGGATTCGAATAAGTTCATGCAGAAGCCTTTCCCTCCAAGTGCGGCTCCGAAGCCTATTCCTAAGAAATTCCATATTCCAGAAATCCCCAAATATAATGGGACCACCGACCCTAATGAGCACGTCACTTCTTACACATACACAATAAAGGGGAATGACTTAGAAGATGATGAGATTGAATTTGTTCTATTGAAAATTTGGAGAAACTTTATCGAAGGGTGCCATGATATGGTATCATAACTTACCACCCAACTCTATTGATTCATTTGCTATGCTCGTAGATTCTTTTGTGAAAGCCCAAGCGGAGCCATTAAAGTTGCAACAAGGAAATCGGACCTCTTCAAGGTAAGATAGAAGGATAACGAGATGCTCAGGAAATTTGTATCTCGGTTCCAAACAGAGAGAATGGATTTGCCTCCAGTCACCGAGGACTGGGCTGTTAAAGCTTTTACACAAGGTCTCAACACTCAGAGCTTCATAGCTTCACAATAGCTGAAGCAAATTTGATCGAATATCCAGCTGTCATTTGGGCTGATGTACACAATCGGTATTAGTCAAAGATTAAGGTCGAAGATGATAAACTGAGAACTCTAATTGGTTTGATTTATACGAACATGCCCGTAGACAGAGTTAAAAGGGACGTCGATCGAGAACCATGATCGAATAGAGATAGATACCAGCCATACGATGGAGATCGAAGAAATAACGGGCCTAGACGCAACCCCACACGGAATGATCGAGGACAGAGTTCCTGGGGGCTTATGAGCAAAAGTGGTTTCGATAGGGATGAAGAGGCACCTCGACTGTTAGAATACAACTTCAGCATAGATGCATCAGGTATTGTATCAGCCATTGGTTAGATTAAGGATACTAGATGGTTCAAACCCTTACAGACCGATCCAACTCAAAGGAAACCCTAATCAAATGTGCAAATACCATGGTACCCATGGTCATAGAACCAAAGACTGCAGACAATTGAGGGAGGAGGTAGCCCGTCTATTCAACGAGGGTCACCTTCGAGAACTCTTAAGTGATCGGGCCACTTCAAAAATAGAGATTCGAACAGGTAGAATGACCAAGAAGAGCCATAACACATAATTCACATGATCGTTGGTGGGGTCGGTATCCCTCAAGGACCGGTATTCAAACGCACCAAAGTGACAATCACGAGGGAGAAGAAAACTCGGGACTACTTACCAGAAGGAACTTTGTCTTTCAACGACAAGAATGCAGAAGGGATCGAACAACCTCACAACGATGCACTGGTAATATCTATCCTTATTAATAAAATTCAAGTTAAATGTGTGTTGATTGATCTAGGTAGCTCAGCAAATATTATTCGATCAAGGGTCAAAGAGCAACTCGGCCTCCAAGATCAAATCGTGTCCACAACTCGGGTACTTAACAACTTTAACATGGCAAGTGAAACCACCAAAGGGGAAAGCATTCTGCCAGTAAACGTGACCGAGAACATCCAAGAAACAAAGTTCAGGCATGAGGAACAACGTGTTGCTCGGAAGATCTTGGATTCATAATATAAGAGCAGTACCCTCGATGCTTCATCAAGTCTTGAAATTCCCAACATCAGAAGGAATCAAAATGATGTACGGTGAACAACCCGCTGCCAAAGAAATGTTTGAAATTGATGAGGTAATACCAATATCGGCGCTGTCATCAACAAGGGGATCAAAGTCGAAGGGAAATCAAGAAGTCAAATAGTAACCACAGTCACCGGCCTCGACTCGATCGGAGGAGAAGGAAACTTTCAAGGATGATGATTATATGATACCTCGAACCTTCATAATCCCCGATGATTCCAATGTAACGAAGTTGACGGTCGAAGAGCTGGAACATATCATACTGATCGAGCATCTGGCCAACCGAAGGGTATACCTAGGCACGGGGTTAACTTCCGAGCTTAGGAAAAAAATCATTCAATTTCTTTTAAATAACATGGGTAGTTTTGCTTGGTCCCACCTAGATATGACAGGGATTCCACCGAAGATCACTATGCATCGACTAAGCTTGGACCCGAAGTTTCGCCCGGTGAAACAAAAGAGAAGACCTCAGTCCGAGGTAAAACATGCATTCATTAAGGACGAGGTAACAAAATTTCTCAATATAGGATCCATTCGGGAGGTAAAATATCTCGAATGGTTAGCAAACGTAGTTGTAGTCCCTAAAAAAGGAAACAAACTTAGAATATGCATAGACTATAAGGATTTAAATAAGGCATGCCCTAAAGATTCTTTTCCTTTGTGGAATATCGATCGCATGATCGATGCCACGACTGGCCATGAGACCTTTAGTTTTCTCGATGCCTACTCCGGATACAATCAAATAAAGATGAACCCGGGGGATCAGGAAAAGACTTCGTTTATCACTAAATACGGTACCTATTGCTATATTGTAATTCCGTTCGGACAAAAAATGCTGGTGCTACTTATTAACACCTAGTAAATTGAATGTTCGAAGAAAAAATAGGTAAATCAATAGAGGTTTATATTAATGATATGCTAGTTAAGTCCCTGCGAGCAGAGGACCATTTGAAACATTTGCAGGAGACCTTCGACATACTGAGAAAATACAAACATGAAGCTCAACCCGGAGAAATACGCATTTAGGGTTGGTTCGGGCAAGTTTCTCGGCTTTATGGTATCGAATCGGGGGATCGAAATCAAACCCAATAAAATCAAAGCAATCGAAGACATCACAGTTGTTGATAATGTCAAGGCCATACAAAGGTTAACAGGGTCCATAGCCACCCTGGGTCGATTTATTTCGAGGTCCTCAGATCGAAGCCATCAGTTCTTCTCACTACTTAAGAAAAAGAGTAGTTTCGCATGGACCCCGGAATGTAAACAAGCCTTAGAGAAACTCAAATGATACCTATCGATCCCGCCATTGCTTCATACCCCAAAGGCGGACGGGCAACTTTTCTTGTACTTAGCGGTCTTGGAGATAGCGGTAAGTGGGGTCTTAGTTCAAGAAGATCAAGGTACGTAATTTCCTATTTATTATGTTAGTCGGACCCTAGGTGAAGCCGAGACCCGGTACCCATACTTAGAAAAATTAGTGCTTGCTCTAATAAGCGTCTCTAGGAAATTAAAAACATATTTTCAATGTTATCCAATTTGTGATGTAACCACCTACCCCTCCGCAACATTTTGCACAAGCCTGAACTCTCAGGTCAATTGGCCAAATGGGCCATCGAGATCAACGGGTACGATATTGAGTATCAACCCCGAATGACCATTAAGTCCCAAATCTTGGTAGACATCGTGGCCGACGTTACGCCAGCCTTCATACCCGAGGTCGAAAAGGAACTATTATTAAAATCAGGTACATCATCAGGGGTGTGGACCCTCTTTGCATACGGTGCTTCAAACGTAAAG